ATACATGAATTTGTTTACTTGTGATTTGTTCTTCCTGTATTTCTTACATGATCTTTATTTTTCCTTTTAGGCTATTTTTTTCTTAGCTGTCTTATCTTTTTCTCTTTGTTTTTATTTAATTATCTCTAAGAATTCTCCGACCATCTGGTTCTCACTTTTATAGAAAGTTTGTCTTCCCATCTCCTCCGCTGCTCCTCTCGCCTCAGCTCTCATATAAACTACACAACCGACGACCTCACAACAGTGGCCACTGGCTTCCGTTACTGTTTCATGCGGCAAGGATAATGTCTTCATCTCGTTCTGCATGAAGACCAGGTTTAGCCTTGGTGATATTTCCTTCCCATTTTCCATGTTACCTTATTAACATGTGTTACGTTGTTCCTTTTGGCTACATCTTCCAGCTTTGTTCTTCATGTTTCTTAATTTCCTCTCGAATCCATTGAATCCCAGTCAATTTCTTTGATAAAAGTCATCCACATTGAGTTGGGAATAACTTTCTCCAGTAAACATTCATGACAATACACAATAAACACTTCCCTCTGGTAATGGTGAAAATACAAGATGAACAAATTATATAAAATACATAAGCGGGCGAATGAGTACAAGATATGAATTACTAATGGTTTAATGTCACTATATTAAGTACATTATAATACATAATAAACACTAATACATAGCTAAACATTAAAATGCATGTTAATACCTGTACCTAGTTATCAATTTTAATATATACTAATACATGGATACATAAAGTAATACACACTTACACTTATACATAATCGAACAGTGTTAATATATAGTAAGGCAAAGATTATATTATATATATATATATATATATATATATATATATATATATATATATATATATATATATATATATATATATATATATATATATATATATATATATATATATATATATATATATATATATATATATATATATATTAGTATATTTTGGTAGCAGTCTTTCCTGTAGACATATATTATTAAATATGACCGAAAAAGTAAGATTAATAATTCTAACACGAATTTTCTCAATCTTTCGTACATTTCTTTTCACTGTTGGAGGTAAAAAAAAAATTAATTCTCCAAAATTCATTTTTATTTCTAGTCTGACGCGACACGAGCGCGTTTCGTAAAACTTATTACATTTTCAAAGACTTTAGTTTACAAATACACAACTGAATAGAACTTACGCATCTCCGATTTTATATCTACATTTTAGTGAGGTGGATGGGGTGAGGTGGCATTAATAGGGCATTAATTTCATCAACACAAGACAGAACAAGAGGTGGCATTAATAGGGTATTAATTTCATCAACACAAGACAGAACACGAAACAATGGGTATTGAATAGAAGTGTTTGTAGAAAGCCTATTGGTCTATATTTCTTGATGCTTCTATATTGGAGCGGAGTCTTGAGGTGGGTAGAATATAGTTGTGCATTAATTGGCTGTTGATTGCTGGTGTTGACTTCTTGATGTGTAGTGCCTCGCAAACGTCAAGCCGCCTGCTATCGCTGTATCTATCGATGATTTCTGTGTTGTTTACTAGGATTTCTCTGGCGATGGTTTGGTTGTGGGAAGAGATTATATGTTCCTTAATGGAGCCCTGTTGCTTATGCATCGTTAAATGCCTAGAAAGAGATGTTGTTGTCTTGCCTATATACTGGGTTTTTTGGAGCTTACAGTCCCCAAGAGGGCATTTGAAGGCATAGACGACGTTAGTCTCTTTTAAAGCGTTCTGTTTTGTGTCTGGAAAGTTTCTCATGAGTAGGCTGGCCGTTTTTCTGGTTTAATAGTAAATCGTCAGTTGTATGATGTCTTGGACGAAACCATTGGAGAAGCCGTTGTTGACTAGGACCTGCCTTACCCTACAGAGTTCTTCGTCGACTTGCTTCCATTCTGAGCTGTGGCTGAGAGCACGGTCGACATATGCGTTAACAACACTCCTCTTGTACCTGTCTGGGCAGTCGCTGTTGGCATTTAGGCACATTCCTATGTTCGTTTCCTTAGTGTAGACTGCAGTGTGGAAACCTCCGCTCTTTTCCATGACTGTTACATCTAGAAAGGGCAGCTTCCCATCCTTTTCCATCTCGTAAGTGAAACGCAGCACGGAACTCTGCTCAAATACCTCCTTCAGCTCCTGCAGATGTCTGACATCAGGTACCTGTGTAAAAATGTCGTCAGCATACCTGCAGTATATGGCCGGTTTCAAGTTCATGTCGACTAAGACTTTTCGCTCGATGGTACCCATGTAGAAGTTTGCAAACAGGACACCTAGGGGAGAACCCATGGCGACCCCATCTACTTGCTTATACATGTGCCCATCCGGGCTCAAGAAGGGTGCCTCTTTAGTACAAGCTTGGAGTAGTTTCCTCAGAATATTTTCTGGTATGTCAAGAGGAGTACAGGCTGGATCACGACACACTCTGTCGGCTATCATCCCGATTGTCTCGTCCACAGGTACGTTGGTAAACAGCGATTCTACGTCCAACGAGGCTCTTATCCTTGTGGCCCGTGTGCCCCGCAGTAAGTCAACAAATTCCTTTGGAGACTTCAGGCTGAAGGCGCAGGGAACATAAGGAGTCAGCAGGCCGTTGAGTCGCTTCGCCAGTCTGTAGGTGGGTGTAGGTATCTCGCTAATGATTGGCCGAAGTGGGTTTCCAGGCTTGTGTGTCTTGACATTTCCATACGCATATCCACACCTATACCCCCTATTAGACTATTTTACAGGAACTTCTTTTCCACAGCTCATAAAACGGAGGAAAGGGTCCTGAAAGATATTGTTAATAGAAACGTTATCCCTACAGATAAAAATCAGAGGATACAACTGACGATTTACTATAAAACCAGAAAAACGGCCAGCCTACTCATGAGAAACTCTCCAGACACAAAACAGAACGCTTTAAAAGAGACTAACGTCGTCTATGCCTTCAAATGCCCTCTTGGGGACTGTAAGCTCCAAAAAAAACAGTATATAGGCAAGACAACAACATCTCTTTCTAGGCGTTTAACGATGCATAAGCAACAGGGCTCCATTAAGGAACATATAATCTCTTCCCACAACCAAACCATCGCCAGAGAAATCCTAGTAAACAACACAGAAATCATCGATAGATACAGCGATAGCAGGCGGCATGACGTTTGCGAGGCACTACACATCAAGAAGTCAACACCAGCAATCAACAGCCAATTAATGCACAACTATATTCTACCCACCTCAAGACTCCGCTCCAATATAGAAGCATCAAGAAATATGGACCAATAGGCTTTCTACAAACACTTCTATTAAATACCCATTGTTTCGTGTTCTGTCTTGTGTTGATGAAATTAATACCCTATTAATGCCACCTCTTGTTCTGTCTTGTGTTGATGAAATTAATACCCTATTAATGCCACCTCACCCCATCCACCTCACTAAAATGTAGATATAAAATCGGAGATGCGTAAGTTCTATTCAGTTGTGTATTTGTAAACTAAAGTCTTTGAAAATGTAATAAGTTTTACGAAACGCGCTCGTGTCGCGTCAGACCAGAAATAAAAATGAATTTTGGAGAATTGATTTTTGAGTTACCTCCAACAGTGAAAAGAAATGTACGAAAGATTAAGAAAATTCGTGTTAGAATTATTAATCTTACTTTTTCGGTCATATTTAATAATATATATATATATATATATATATATATATATATATATATATATATATATATATATATATATATATATATATATATATATATATATATAGCGGAGTGACACTCTCATTAGCTGGGTGACGCTGTCCTCAGGTGAGTGATGCTGTTTTTCAGCTGAGTGACTTTCCTCAAACGAGTGACGGTGTCTTCAATTGTATTGCTGAATATTAGTACACATTATATATATATATATATATATGTGTGTGTCGTACGTAATAGCCAGAACGCACTTCTCAGCCTACTATGCAAGGCCCGATTTGCCTAATAAGCCAAGTTTTCATGAATTAATTGTTTTTCGACTACCTAACCTACCTAACCTAACCTAATCTAACTTTTTCGGCTACCTAACCTAACCTATAAAGATAGGTTAAGTTAGGTTAGGTGGGGTTGGTTAGGTTCGGTCATATATATACGTTAGTTTTAACTCCAATAAAAAAATTAACCTCATACATAATGAAATGGGTAGCTTTATCATTTCATAAGAAAAAAATTGAGAAAATATATCAATTCAGGAAAACTTGGCTTATTAGGCAAATCGGGCCTTGTATAGTAGGCTGAGAAGTGCGTTCTGGCTACTAGGTACGACATATATATATATATATATATATATATATATATATATATATATATATATATATATATATATATATATATATATAATGTGTACTAATATTCAGCAATACAATTGAAGACACCGTCACTCGTTTGAGGAAAGTCACTCAGCTGAAAAACAGCATCACTCACCTGAGGACAGCGTCACCCAGCTAATGAAAGTGTCACTCCGCTGAGGTCACCGTCCCCCAGCTCAGAAAAGCATCACACAGCTGAAGAGAACGTCATTCAGCTGCGGATAATAGAACCAGCCTACAACCAGCTGGAGAGTGATGTCAGTCCCCAGGGTTTCTCCTCAGGTTTCATTGACGGGTATACATCTCAAGCGTGTCCATCTGTCTCTTTTTCAAGCTTGTCCTTCAAGCTTGCCCAATCAAACGTTCTCTATTGAGCTTCGTCACTCAACTCTTATTATCCATGAGGCTTCTCCCCCTAGAGGTTCATTTTCAGGCTTCCCCTCGAGAGGTTTACCCTCATGCTTCCCCCTAGAGGTTTACCCTCAGGCTTCCCCCCTAGAGGTTTACCCTCAGGCTTCCCCCCTAGAGGTTTACTCTCACGCTTCCCCTCCTCAGTCATCCTCTCCTCAGGCTCACTGTCCTCAGGCTTTCCCTCCTCAGGCTTTCCCCTCCTCAGGCTTCCTCCTCCTCAGGCTTCCCCCTCCTCAGGCTTTCCCGTCCTCAGGCTTCCCCTCCTCAGACTTTCCCTTCAGGTTCCTCATCAAATTGGTCATCATCATCGTCGGCCTCCTGCACGCAGAGTGGGCTGCGTTCCTCCTGGCAACTCTGGTCGGTCATGTAGTAGTAGTGTTCGTAGGTCAAGGCGGAGCACCTGAGGACATCCCAAGGAACACCGTCAACCTTTTCTTCTTACACAAACAATTGGATCATATAAACAAAAGCATAAATTCCATCCAAGAAACTCTGAACATAAAAAAAACGCACGAAAGAACACAATAAAACAGGAAACTGCAGGAGTGATTATAGGTCCATGCAAGGCAGCTTCCAGAGTTCCCACGAAAAATATATGAGTGTATAGGGATTGTCAGTGGAAGTGGAGGGGGGCGAGGGGGGAGGGAAAGGATCTGGGTCACAAATGGACCCGACCATTAATACGAGTCCATAGGACCATGTACGTCTGGTCATCATAGAGAACCAGGTACGTCTGGTCATTACAGAGGACCAGGTACGTTTGGTCATCACAGAGGACCAGGTATATCTGGTCATCACAGAGGACCAGGTACGTCTGGTCATCACAGGGGACCAGGTATATCTGGTCATCACAGAGGACCAGGTATATCTGGTCATCACAGAGGACCAGGTACGTCTGGTCATCACAGAGGACCAGGTATATCTTGTCATCACAGTGGACCAGGTATATCTGGTCATCACAGAGGACCAGATACATCTGGTCATCACAGAGGACCAGGTACGTTTGGTCATCACAGAAGACCAGGTACGTCTGGTCATCACAGAGGACCAGGTACGTCTTGTCATTACAGAGGACCAGGTACGTCTGGTCATCACCGAAGACCAGGTACCTCTGGTAATCACAGAAGACCAGGTACGTCTAGTCATCAGCCCATCCTACCTGGAAGATCACTTAGTTCTACCTGGCTGACCAGTCTCGAGTTGTCACAAGGTCATTAAACTGATGTACTAAATTGCCAGAACCTAACCCAACCCAGGATCCACGAATGGTGAAAGTAACAGCCCGTCAATATAGCGAGCCGCTATGGTTTACAGTACATCTTATTTTGACTTTGGAGATTTATGCGTCGTCCAGGTTGAGAGGCCAGGTTGAGCACACATTAGGTCCATCAGCAGAAATTCCAAAATAGGTGCGTAAAGCAGTAGATCTAATAAATAATGATTAACTCATACTTTTGAATAGAATATTTTATGGATATTTATTGCCAATTTCTATTTACTAATTAATGTTAATAAAAAATTACAAATGTGTTTGCTCTTCATTGTTATAACTGGTTACAAATATTGTGAACATATTTGTTAAGATTTTATGTAAATATTTTTTTTTAATTTTTAACTAAAATTACATTTTATTTTATTGTTTTATAAGAAAGTTGACAATAATTCATTTCCAAAGAATAACATTAATTCTTGATGTCGCCTAATTGAATGTAAATATTAAATCACCACTTCCATAATAATGCTTGGCGAATATCTAGCCAAGCAACATTTTATAAATGCTGTTTCGTTTTATAAGCACGTCATATTAAAAATTTATCAATAAACCCCATTGTTCCACAGAACCCCTGCATGAGAGTCACTGTTATAGACAGTAAACCAAGTGGGTACACAAGCTTACCATTCCTATCGTCTGCACAATTGAACTAGAAAAAAAGTGAATCATTACCATCCCTCCTGACGATTGGCGGGCGCCTGGGTGTAGGAGAAGCAGGGGGCATCTGGTAGGGCAGCGGAGGGACTGCTGAAGGGGTCAGTGTGGGGCGGGGGGCGCGGCACACACGAGATGCTGTGCCTGCAACAGTAACACAAGTATATACTACGGTTAATCCCTCTCCAAACAGGTACTGGCACACAACAAACTCTCTCCAAGCAGGTACTGGCAAACGGTACACGTACTAACCTCACAGATCAGAAGGGTGACTCTAGGGGCACTAACCTCACAGATCAGTAGGGAGACCTTAGGGGCACTAACCTCACAGATCATTAGGGAGACCTTAGGGGCACTAACCTCACAGATCATTAGGGAGACCTTAGGGGCACTAACCTCACAGATCAGTAGGGAGACTTTAGGGGCACTAACCTCACAGATCAGTAGGGAGACCTTAGTGGCACTAGCCTCACAGATCAGTAGGGAGACCTTAAGGACACTAATCTCACAGATCAGTAGGAAGACCTTAGGGGCACTAGCCTTACAGATCACTAGGGAGACCTTAGGATCACTAACCTCACAGCCCAGTAGGAAGACCTTAGGGGCGCTAACCTCACAGCCCAGTAGGGAGACCTTAGGAGCACTAACCTCACAGCCCAGTAGAAAGACCTTAGGGACACTAACCTCACAGCCCAGTAGGAAGAACTTAGGGGCACTAACCTCACAGCCCAGTAGGGAGACCTTAGGAGCACTAACCTCACAGCCCAGTAGGGAGACCTTAGGGACACTAACCTCACAGCCCAGTAGGGAGTCCCTAAAGGTATGACAGATTCGTCCACGGTCCACGACCAAGCGTTGGTATCCAAGTCGAACCGGCCACCGACCCAGTAATCAGTCGTCAGCCCTGCAACACCATATACCAGCAATACTTATCGTGTATCGCTCTGTCATAAATGTGCAGTGATCTTTGTAATCTTCACTGAGCACAATGCACGGAATTGTGTTCCGTACTATGCTCCGAAAAAAAATCGCCAAAGAATGTGTTATGTTTACCATATTTCTCTGGGTTTGAGAATATGGTCAAGGCTTTTTGATATACGTGTATTGTTTAGCTACGAAAATACTGTTGGTAAACTATTAGTTAGAAACAACCCTCGTAGTGATAATTGTATCATTTATAAAATACCTTGTAAAGACTGTAATAGGTTCTATGTAGGGCAATCATCTAATGATTTGAAATGGGGAATTTCGCAACACAAATACTTTGTAAGACATGATCAATTGCCTAATGCTTTGTTTGTTCATTTGTCAGGAAATACTCACCAAATTGATTGGGAGATGGCTTCTTCAATAACAATTTTAAAATCACTTATAACAGGAACATAATTGAATCTGCTTTAATACAGATTACAAAAGAAAGTAATTTGAACATTAGCAGTGGTTTATATAACTTAGATCCATTTTTGATAGATCAATTAAAGGGCGATTTGAGTAGGATCATTGATACACATTTGTCTCACCAATTCATTGAAAATATTTACTATCTTATGCTATTATTATCCATGTGTGGGCCTATTGGTAAATAAAAATGGGAGCTGCATCGTATGGGCCAGTAGACCTTCTGCAGTTCTTATGCGGCTCATACTTGTATCCACCTAATTCCCATTCCTTTTTCATTGTACCTCACCTCACTTTACCTCTCTCTCCTGCCTATATATGTCCAATACTTGACCTGTAAATCATTCCTTCTGAAGATGTAATAATATACGAAAGTACTTAAGGAAATTCCTGCTTCAATTCTTCCTCTGTGGTCTGACACTGTCACATTTTTCATCACGTGTTAATTTTCGTGATTTACACACACACACATTATATATATTATATATATATATATATATATATATATATATATATATATATATATATATATATATATATATATATATATATATATATATATATATATATATATATATATATATATATATATATATATATATGCAGAATAACCACATATGAAAAATAGAAAATGCTTAACGCGTTTTCGGCTAATTCGCCTTCATCAGAGCAAAGTAGAATCATTCTACTTTGCTCTGATGAAGGCGAATTAGCCGAAAACGCGTTAAGCAGTTTCTATTTTTCATATGTGGTTATTCTGCATACTTGGATCAGTGTTTTTGTGATCATTGTTGCATATATATATATATATATATATATATATATATATATATATATATATATATATATATATATATATATATATATATATATATATATATATATATATATATATATATATATATATATATATATATATATATATATATATATATATATACATATATATATATATATATATATATATATATATATATATGTATATTTTGGTAGCAGTCTTTCCTGTAGACATATATTATTAAATATGACCGAAAAAGTAAGATTAATAATTCTAACACGAATTTTCTCTATCTTTCTTACGTTTCTTTTCACTGTTGATGGTAATTCAAAGATCAATTCTCCAAAATTCATTTTAATTTCTAGTCTGACGCGACACTTGAGCGCGTTTCGTAAAACTTATTCAAAGACTTTAGTTTACAAACACACAACTGAAACTGAATAGAGCTTGCACATCTTCGAGTTTATATCTACATTTGGGTGAGGTGGATGAGGTGAAAACAAACTTTCAACAATGGGTATTGAATGGGTATTAAATTCAAACACAAGACAGAAAACGAAACAATGGGTATTGAATGGAAGTAATTGTAGAAAGCCTATTGTCCATATTTCTTGATGCTTCTATATTGGAGCGGAGTCTTGAAGTGGGTAGAATATAGTTGTGCATTAATTGGCTGTTGATTGCTGGTGTTGACTTCTTGATGTGTAGTGCCTCGCAGACATCAAGCCGCCTGCTATTGCTGTATCTATCGATGATTTCTGTGTTGTTTGCTAAGATTTCTCTGGTGATGGTTTGTTTGTGGGAAGAAATTATATGTTCCTTAATGGAGCCTTGTTGCTTATGCATCGTTAAACGCCTGGAAAGAGATGTTGTTGTGTTGCCTATATACTGTTTTTTTTGAGGCTTACAATCCCCAAGAGGGCATTTGAAGGCATAGACGACGTTGGTCTCTTTCAAAGCGTTCTGCTTTGTGTCTGGAGAGTTTCTCATGAGTAGGCTGGCCGTTTTTCTGGTTTTATAGTAAATCGTCAGTTGTATCTTCTGATTTTTGTCTGTAGGGATAACGTTTCTACTGACAATATCTTTCAGGACCCTTTCCTCCGTTTTATGGGCTGTGGAAAAGAAGTTCCTGTAAAATCGTCTAATAGGGGGTATAGGTGTTGTGTTAGTTGTCGCTTCAGAGGTTGCATGGCGTTTCACTTTCCTTCTTATGATGTCTTCCACGAAACCATTGGAGAAGCCGTTGTTGACTAGGACCTGCCTTACCCTACAGAGTTCTTCGTCGACTTGCTTCCATTCTGAGATGTGGCTGAGGGCACGGTCGACATAAGCGTTAACAACACTCCTCTTGTACCTGTCCGGGCAGTCACTGTTGGCTTTCAGGCACATTCCTATGTTTGTTTCCTTAGTGTAGACTGCAGTGTGGAAAACTCCACTGCTTTCCATGACTGTTACATCTAGAAAGGGCAGCTTCCCATCCTTCTCCATCTCGTAAGTGAAACGCAACACAGAATTCTGCTCAAATGCCTCCTTCAGCTCCTGCAGATGTCTGACATCAGGTACCTGTGTAAAAATGTCGTCAACATACCTGCAGTATATGGCCGGTTTCAAGTTCATGTCGACTAGGACTTTTTGCTCGATGGTACCCATGTAGAAGTTTGCAAACAGGACACCTAGGGGAGAACCCATGGCGACCCCATCTACTTGCTTAGACATGTATCCATTCGGGCTCAAGAAGGGTGCCTCTTTAGTACAAGCTTGGAGTAGTTTCCTTAGACTGTTTTCTGGTATGTCAAGAGGAGTACAGGCCGGATCGCAAGTCAACAAATTCCTTTGGAGACTTCAGGCTGTAGGCGCAAGGGACATAAGGAGTCAGCAAGCCGTTGAGTCGTTTTGCCAGTCTGTATGTGGGTGTGGGTATCTGGCTGATGATTGGCCGAAGTGGGTTTCCAGGCTTGTGTGTCTTGACATTTCCATACGCATATCCAGGTTTATATTCCCCAATAATCTTTGGTAGGTGGAGTCCAGATTTCTTGGCGTTCACAGTTTCGATCAATTTGTTGACCTTTGCTTTCAGTTCGGCTGTAGTGTCCTTCGTTACCCTTAGGAATTTAGTTTGGTCAGAGAGTATGAGGTTCATTTTCGCCAGATATTCGTCTTTTTTAAGAATGACGTATATTGGCAACTTGTTGCCTCTCCTGACAATTATCTCCTTGTTCTCACGAAGGCTCTTAGCTGCCGCTTTGAGCTCGGGGGACAGTATGGTGCTTCTGTAGTTGCCTCGATTCTTTCCTCCTTCCGCAATAAGTTCTGCTTGTAAGGTATCTTTGGTGGTGACCTTTTTTTGTGCTTCGAGGTCGAATATGTCGTCCAATAGAATCTCCAACTCCACTTTCAGGGCCATCTCACTCAGTCTGGACACGTGACAGTTTATACCCAGATTTAGGAGAGTGACTTGGTCCTCAGTGAGGTTGATTCCTGCAAGGTTCAGGAAGCCATCTCTTGGTCGTGGAATTGCCATAGGTCCTCCATATAACGTTGTTAGTTTCTTGATTATCTTTGTTTCAGTGCTGAGGTGATGTCGGTCTGTGAGGATGTCGAGGTGTTGTTCAATGCGAGTACGGAGACTTTCGTCGATGTTGCTGTTTCTCCATTCGTTTGTAGCATGTTACGGCCCTCTCGGGACGCAACAGGGTTCTTACTCTGATGTAGTTAGAGGAAGATATATATCCGGCCCCAAGCCAGTAGAGGCTATCAAGGGATGCGATCCGTGACGCAAGTAACTTAAAGGGAGTAGGGAAAGAAAGGTAAGAACTTAATATAATATAATTTTCACCATCACCATTTGAATATATAGAAATAAAACGTACACAAGGGGGAGGGGTATTAACACTTTACAAAGGGGATCAACACTGTAGTCTTCTGCTGGAGACTATGGATCCTTGAAGCTAGGTGCTGAGTCCGCGGTGCTTTCTTCGTGGCCTCAAGACGTGTCCTCTGAGAACGCCGAGTCTACCCTGGCCACAGGTCAGCCACAACACAGGTCCACTGGGGGCACCGTCGTGGAGGCCGTCAACCACACGTCCAGCAGGTCTGCTGGCAGGTACTGAGCCACCAAGGCTGGTACGGCCACTCCACGAACGATAAAAGGGGTACGCCCTAGACAGGAGTCTCGTGTGATATCACCAATCACCCTCCTGTCCTCAATACCCCAGTGGATTATCGTCTCCAACCGTCGGTCCCGGGTAAATCCTTCCACTGCCACTCCACTGGCAGGCTTAACACACCACAGTGTTCTTCCGGGGGGACGACGTCACGACAGCTACAGCAAACTTCACTGTATGGAGACTGGCTGCCTCGGGTAGACTGACTCCACCTTCAACACAGTGGTCCCAGGTCGGCTCTGTAAGCAGACACGTCATTAATAACCGGGACACTAATACACCACACTCACAGGCTCAGATACAAACGCCCGACATATCCAGTCCATAGATGGCGCTGCCGTCGGAGCACCACCTCACCAGAGGTCAGGAGCGGCGGTGTTGAGTGCTGAACCAGACTGGAAACTGGTCCTCGAGGCCAGTACACGCTGTCCTCACTAGGTGTCGTCGTTCGTTTGGCGGGGGTTTCGGGAGCTGACCCACAGATGGCGTGTTTGTCACTGCTCCAGGCTCGGACGCTGAATCCGGGTTCGTAACACCTCCCCACCAAAAAGAATTTGGTTTGGG